CAACCGTATAGAAAAAGTACCACATGACTTCTATAATTCCTCGTCAATTACAGTCAAATAATAACACAAACATGTCAGTTTTGGACACACACAATGTAAAACAACAAAAATTACGTGGTTTGATTTAAGGTAGTGTTTAATTGAATCATTTTCCATGAAAAATGGAATAAGTTTTTCATCTTTTACTCAATTAATGGTATTTGATACCATTTATTTTTCATGAAATTGGTTTTCTTGCTTTTGTTGCCACATAGATATTTTCCATCTAATTGAGATATGGTGAGAATTCATTTTCTCTCTTACTGTAGCAATTTTTAATTTTTTTAATTTTTTTTTTTTTTGCAGTGAAAACAAATTCTAAGAATTATTGTAAAAAAATATTTTCCTTTAATTGACAATTTTCATGTAAAATAAAGCCAAACGAATATAATAAGATAGATGATTTTTTTGAAATTTTTGTTTTTGTTTTTGTTTTTGTTTTTTTTTTTGGCAGTGAAAACAAATTTCATCCCCAATACTAGTAAATTTTATCCCTTTAATTGACAATTTTCATATAAAATAAAGTCAAACGAACATAAAAAAACACTTTAATTTAAATATTTTCCACGTGAAAAATTATACAAATCAAACACAAAATTTACAATTCCTAGGAAAACAACTTCTAAATAATTCAATTCCCTGAAATTCGTTTTCAATTCAATTCAATTCCATTTTTTCAATCAAACGGACCCTAATTGAACTTTACTACATGTACAGAACATACAGTTTGTGACATTCTATCATTGAACATCGTTCAATTAATGCAGTGTCGGCAGCTGATGCATTGTTGCCAACATTGTATCGGACACTTCACTTTGTACAAGTAATAAAATCTGATTTAATTTATAAATAAATAAATAAATAAAAATGATTGTAAAATAAGTAAATAATTCTTGTAAATTCGTTAATAAAAATAAAATTTTATTACTTTTTAATGACCTATATATTTTGCCAGAGGAAGAAACTTTAGCCAATTTTAACCAAACATGTGTGCCAGTTGTTGAAAAGCCAAAATGGTCAAAATTCAGTGAATAATGCTGTCTTTGTTTGGTACAGATTTTAAACTAATTAAAATCAACTTTTTAACCATTATTATATTATTTCAACCGTTATTTTTGAATTATTATCTCACGAATAGGACTCACTTTATCTGTAACGATCCAAAAATCAATTATCAAAATCTGCCAAACAAGCTCTATCTTGCACAGGTGGTGCTAGATAGCTGAACCCTAGTTTAAATAATTACATTTTATAAATTGAATTAAATGAGTAAATTGACTTTAGATTTAAATCAATATATTTTTAATGTCATGCAATTGTTATCTAGATGACTGCTTAACATCACTCAAATTCAATAACTCGTCGTATTAATTGAGTTGAGGCATTTTCAATCCAGGAACTGGGACGTAGGCTAAATCTGAGTGCGGTCCCAATACACTTGTGATTGGGCCATATTGTTGCTGTGATTGATGGGACCGGAGGATGTGTACCAAGTCCAGCCACATTTTATCTGTAAAAGCACTTAAATATACTATGGAATCAATCAGCTCCACCAACCAATACTTTACTCACTCCATAATTCATATATTTGCTAATAAAAACACCTCAACAAACATTTTAATGTATCGGGTTCACAATCGAAAAAACTGTTCTAAACCACGGTCTACATGCAGCCCCGGTTCTGGGGCCAGACGAATGAGGCCTACGCCTCAGGCCCAGATTCCAAGGAGGCCTCATTTTCAGCCGAAAATATTTTTTTTATTTTTCCCAATTGAACCAAACCCAGTGATGAAGAAGAGTACCCCACAACTTCATGCCCAAATCCAATACCCTTAGTCTTAATCCATTTACCCGACTTATACATCCATAAATCATAATCCATTATCCATCATTTACCCAAAATTTCCAATTTCCCAATCCCCAATCAAAAACCCTTTTCTCCCAAACACTCATCTGAGTAGTCCGTCCCCTTCGCAGTATCATCGACCGCCTCTATCTCTCTTCTCGACTTCCTCATTCCGACTTCCAGATTTCCTCTTCCTTTGAATCATCAGTCACAGTCCACGGAGTCGGACACCGTCGTAGTTCACACTGATTCCGTTCTACTGCAGAGCATAGTTCGTTGGTCACCCCTGTTAGCAAACAAGTGCTTGGCAGTTGGCTATTAGTTTAGTATGTTAAGATTATTAATTCCTTTTGAGTTATATGATTACATTTACACTAAGTATTCAACTATTCATTCATGGCTTTTACATTTTACTTATTATAATTTTGATTACTTGACTTTAATTGATAAATGCTCTTTTTCTATGTTACTGTTAAATACTTTAATGTTAATGGGTTAACTGTTATCTAGTCTAGGATGGAGTCGAGGACCTGAAAATGCTACAACTATTTTTAATGATTATTGATTAATATATAATTTGTTGTACAAGTTTGAGATGAAGAACTCTCAAATCTCAAGTAATGACTAATGTGTGAAATAGTTTATAGTTAATTTCAATAACTTAGTTTGATAGGTAAGGTGAGAGAATATATAGTTGAGAACTTGAGATATTATTATGTCAATGAACTCAAGAAAAGATATTTTCAGTTTTTGCAACCAGTATACAAATTTGAATTAATTTATTTTGTTGATGACACTATTTTAACGGTGATTAGTTCTTATTAAATGTGTTATTTCCCTAAGCTTTACTAAATGTGCGCCTATTTTTAAGTATTGGCGTTTGATGTTAAATTTTTGTTTCGGGTTCGTAAGTTATGACAATGGAATTCTCGAGGGTGTGATTCCACAGTTTTTGCAGCAATTCTGCTTCTCAAGTAAGCAGTGGCTTTCCCTAACTTGTTATTTAAGAGATTGAAAATGTTTGAAGTCTTGTCGACTTATTTAATTGCAGTTTGGTTGGCTTATATGATTGATTATTGTACGATCAACTATTTCAGAAGAAAGAATGGATTGGCCATATTATCAATAGAGAAAGAAATAGTTGAATAGCTAAACTATTCAGATTTTATTAATGTTTTTGCCTTTTAGACGAATAATATTTAACTAATTATTTGAAATATTTTGGTTTTGTTATTTGATAATATAAATTTTTTATATAATATATATGTTTGTTGTTTTAACGTTAAATTTTAAGTTAGCAATAAGTTGTATAATACACCATTACATTTATGTTGATTTCGGGAGGGGGCCTAATTTATATGCTTTGCCTCGAGCCCTGACAATCACAGAACCGACCCTATCTACATGGCTTTACTTCCTATACTTGTGGCCTTACAAGCACATTAACATATTATTCAAATTTCACATCATTAGTACAACTTCCCGCTAAACAGCAAGCTGGAGTTTGCTATAGAATAATACTATGTGTACAGAATGGTTTCACAAAACCCCTCCAGAAGACACACGGCAGGTGGAGGGGGGGTTTTTGAATTATCTATGAGGTGGGTCCCACATGGGGGGCCCACCTGCTTGTGTGCATTTTGGAGGGGTTCTATGAAACCTCTCTTGTCCACACAGCATTATTCATTGCTATATGTTTAACTACTAAGGGATGTAAATATCATAGCAACAACTTATAATTGTTCTGATGACCAGAAGGACAAGTCTGGGAATATTTGATGGCTTCAATCCAGAAGTCCAGCCTGTTTGTAGCTCTCAACAGAATCAACAAGAGTTTCTTCCAGTGCCTTATATTTCAAACCCAGCCTTTGCAATTTTTCTGAAATGATGAGATTTTCTGCTTCAGATCCCTCTTTAAAACTGCAACAAGAAGGGGTCATAGAAAGCAGAATCGCGAAAAAAATTTCAACCCAGGACAAGCTGTGCTAGTCTGATGGATTTACACAGCAAGTGATGGGTTAGAACTTAAAAATGTGTAACAATAATCTGGCACTATTAAAAGTTTATTGCTAAAAATTACAAGTGACAAACTAATTCTTGACAGGAAGACCTTTTGGAAGTAATTAAATGATGAAAATATATACTCACCGCTTGGGATATTTATAGTTGGGATAGATTTGTCTTAGTTTTTCTGCAATATCTTTAGTTTTGACCACGTGAGCAGAACAAATGTATCTACCTTCAGCTTCGGGTTTCTCATATACCAAATTTAGTGCTTCAGCTACATCTCGTACGTCAACTACATACCAGGTTCTGTTTTCCATTTCCTCGTATCCTTCTAGATGAACAAGAAGTTAAAAAAGCAATATTTCAAATGATTGAACAGGTGGAACCTTTATCTTTTTACGGAAAGAGAGAGAGAGAGAGAGCCGGTATTACAGGCCCCTGGGGCCTTTTTCCAAACATAAATATTATGTAAGTGAAATATTGGATAGACCAGTCATTTCAATGCATGGGGAGTAGAAATGATCGGATAACTTTGATAACTCAAAGAAGCACATAATCTTATGCCCATAAACCCATGGAAAACCTAAATACCACGACAACTTGCAACATGCTCCAGTTGACCACTGGACTAATCTTCATTGGATCCACTGAAGTATGTTAAAAAAGGGAGGCTAATGAAGTCATGAAACCTAATGCATTTACAGATTTGAGGTTTAATTTCATTCATTAATGTGACTTCTAGTGTACAGTTAATGGCACCTGGTGGATTTGAGGATGTAAACAG